TCAGGCCGCTGCCACTAGGAGACGGAAGGGATTGTTTATTTCTTTTTTAATAATATCAAATTTCACATCGTGAAAAGCAGAAACGTGCTTCCTCGGGTAAGGAAGGGGAGAGAGAAGTAAAGCACAGGCAAGGGAAGCTGTACATAAAATGCTTTTGTATAGGCAGAGGGAAGGTAAAGAAATGAAGTCTTGTTTTTTACGTTCAACTAAAAATTCCTTTTCTGGTCTCTGCTTTGGATTTCTTCACCTGATTTTCAGGTAGAACTGTCACCGCTGAGGTTCCAAACCATGCTGGCATCTTCCTCTTAGAAGGGGGATGCAAGCTCTGGAAGACAAAACCACCCATGGATAAAGGCAAGCAGTTACAGTCTTAACTGCCCTAGCTCTACTCCCCAAAAAATCATGAGCTGACTCTCGTATTAGTGGAAGGCTTGTATCTCCCTACAGGAACGGAAGGGGAAAAAAAAAAGTAAATAAAATACCAAGCTAGAGCAGTGAGAACAACCAAAGCTGGGGAATCAAGATAACAAAGGAAAGGACTGCAGCTCCTTGCTGTAACCCGTGAAAGCATACAGCCCCAGGCAGGGGGTGGAAAGTGGGTGCCCCTACTACATCAGCAGTACCTGCTACCTTCCCCCTTACTACTTGAGAAAAAGGGACTGAAACCCCACAAACACACATGCTACGGCAACACAAAGCCATGAGTTCCTGTAAGAGCTTACAGCTGGGGGATAAATGGGTTTCTGCTCATCCTTCAGCCCCCAGTTTTTCAACAATGGAAGACTCATCTCAGTCAACATATTCATCTCCAGACAAACAAGACTACTGGCCAGCTGCTCTTGGGAAATGCAACCGGAGGGGCAATGGACAGCCAGGAGAGAAGCTGCTGCAGTGCTTGCATCCAGAGGTGCATGGACAATGCCCAGACTCTCAGCCTGAGCTTGGGTGCAGCAGGAAGGGTGCAGAGACAATTACACACCAAGCATGCTTTGTTCCTGTGTCACAACAAAGGGGCTTTACTTGGAACTGATGTTCTGGAAGTTAACCGAAGCTACTGCCAGCAATCAAAAAGATGATTTGTGTTTAATGTTTCAAGGAAGATAGCTGCTGTGCTGTTTAGGAGTCTACCTACAGAACACTGACCAGACCGTGAATAGTGATTTGTCTGCATCATTATTTGCACTCACTTCAATATCCAGCTTCAAACTGAAGCAAACTGTACAGCAAGTAGTGCTGGTCAGAGCCACATGAGCTCCCTTTAGAAAAAAAACAAACTATACTCACGCACATACAACTTGTGTTTATATAAGCATCAGTGCAAAAATCCTTAGTGTGATCAGCACACAGCCTCACACAACCCTATACTTGAAAGGGGGAAAGGGAGCCAAACATCTTAAAGCACTGGAAGCATCTGCCACTAGATGGCTGACAAGGTGTACTGGGTAAAAAAAAATTTCTGTAGCAGGCTGATGCTGTGAAGTATATTTGGGCATAGCCAGGGCAATAAAAGCTGCACACTGTCACTACCTCAAGGATATCAACAAGAGTGAAGTTGGCTGGCAATCCAGGCCAAGGTTGTAGGCAGAGTAAAGAACCCAGAGAGAAGCGGCATTTTGGTTTGTTAAAGATTCAACGCCCAAATCATGGGGTCTGGGCTCTGCTCCAGGCACAGAGCTACAGGCAGCCTCACCTTTGGCTGAGAGTCAGCAGATGGCTCCTCCTCCACAGGATTGTAGGCAGGCTGATTCCAGGAGGCCATCGCAATGGGCTTCAGGCAGCCTGCTGCCCCTCCGCTACCTGGCTGGCCATCATTATCCATGCTCTGTACGGCCTTCCCATGCGTCCGTGAGGAAGCAGGCTGTTACACATATCACAGCATTAAAGCTGAAGTCTGCACAAACCAGATTCGGTGCAAAGGCTGTGTTTTGGAGGGGGTTGTTTTGGATTTTTTTTTTTTAGTAAATGAGTAATTATAAACATAGTTCCAACACCTCTGCTTAATGAGATCACTAGCTATTTCTTATCCATTTCACCACGACAAAGTTTGAGCAAGTGAAGCACATCCATTTCAAATGCAAGGCAACTAATTGTACTTGACGTTTTTTTAGTGGAAAAGAATACTTTGTCCATCCCTGTGGCTCTGAGAACTTGAAATACTTGCTTCTGACTCACAAGTACTGTGTTCTCAAATGTGTTTTTACAGCAAAGGTGTCAGTTAAAAATGGCATAGCAGGCACAGAGGTATTAACTTGTAATTTCTATATAGTGCTTGCTGGTCACAGGTTGGAACAGCCAAGCTGAGATTTTTATTATCAGCTACGCATCCCTGTGTTACCGAGAGCATCACTAATGGCAAATCTACAGCACGCTTTATTACAGTAAGAACATCTGTTTACCGAAGCTGAAGGCACCACTTGCAGATGGGTTTTCTCTGCTCCTTCCTTCAGCGTCAGGTTGATCAAATTACCCTGTAAAAGCAGCAGTAATGTAAGGTTGTTAAAATCCAAGAACATTCATTAGCGGATTTCAAAGCTGTTTGCTACAGGGAATTATTAGAACCAGGATATCTTCTGAAGGAGAAGTAAATAAAGACTATTTGGATTAGCTTCTGGATTTGCAGCCTACTCATCTGTATAATATTAATTTGATTTCTAATAGCACGTCATTCCCATTATTAGCTCCAGCAGCTAACAGTAGCAGAACAAAGTGTAATTAGGGCTCAGGCAATTGGACTGCCAGGAGGTCAACTTCAGGAAAAAGAAGGCTCAGACACAGCTATTGTAGGAACAAAAAAGCACTCAGGGCTAGAAGCAATCAATTTGGCTAAATGGCAAGGCTTGAAAAATTGTTTGAGCCAGCTTTCAAGAAGTCAGCCCCAAATCCTATAAGGAACAGAGATGAAATCCTAGCGCAGGCAGCAGAAGGATTTAGAATTTGGAATTTTTTTACCATTCCCACCAGGAGCCACTCAGTGCAGGGTGGCCTTTTGTACATGGTGCTGAGCTGGGACTTGGGAAACACCGAGAAGACGGCCGAGGGCTCAGAAGATTAGCCTGGCCTTTCTCAGACAGCAACAGAGAGCTCCTTATTTCCCAAGATTTCTCCCCAGTGAGTCAGACCAATGGCATGACTCTTGTTATCAGGGCTATGCCCAGCAGTTTCCAGCAACAGAGGAACCCATGAAAGACTGCTAGACATTTCTGGCAGGCATTGCCTCCAGCTTTTTCACACACTCGACTTTTCTGCTATCTTCAATCTGTCTGCACAGTAAGAGAATGGCTTTTCCCACATCAGCCTGGTGATCAGGTACCAGGGGACAGAAGCAAGGCAAGGGCAGAACACGCACTTTGTGGCTATGAAGGATCCAGCTTACCAAAGGTTTTCATAGTGGAGAGGACTTGGAATTTCAGCTTTTCCCTCCATTGCCCCAGCTACTGTAAATCTGAGATTTCACAGGGGGCCTTTTAGTTCCACATCCCAAAGGGCTGGACAACAGCAGAAAGCCTTCATACCCCCTCTCTCAGGCCACTGTTAAGCTGGAGTAGCAATGGTCTACAGCAGTGGACCATCAGGTGCCTGATCTTCCTGGGCTGCACATCCAGGACATGCTAGGGTAGGGATGAGCTGACAGTCCCACAGGGGACCAGATCAACTCGGGTGACTTGTTGGACAGACCACAGCTAGGCTGCACAGGGGCAGCCTTCCTCCTAGGTCGATACTTGACAAGGGGAAGCCTCTGATTCCGCTCTCAGAGGAGAGGGAGGCAGTCCTAGTCAAAGCTGAGGGGAAGATGGATTGTGAAGATGCACTACTGGCAACAGCAACAACATAAAAGGGCTTTTAGTCTGCTCTGATGAAGTAGAAACATTCTTTTCACAAAACTGGTTTTATACCTTCTTTTACTAACCTTTGTTTTACTCCACGAGCCATCTTCCCTGCTTGCTTGATCTGCTCCTGTTTTTTCCTGCTGCCCTTCTGACCACACCAACATCCTTTTCACACCTGAGCCGTCCCGAGTCTTATTTTTATCCTCCTTCTCCAATAATGCAATAGTCATCCTGATGAGATACAGCTCAATATTTGCAGGAACAAGTTTTCTAATTGCTTGAATTTTGGTGGTGTCTTGGAAAAAATATACATACAGTATTAACAATTATGTTTTTTTAATTCTTTTGCCCCTCCCTTATTCAGTTTTCTTATCCTGTGAAAAACATCAGTTGTCCCTCATTAAAGCATAGGATACATTAAGGCATGCAAAATAAAAAAACCCAAGGTATGGGTTTAACTCATAAGGAAACAGATCATGAGGTCCTGGGATAAATCCCCACCTCATTCGTGCTCACACAAGCTTACTGTCCTCAGTTTTAGTCTAACACTTCAGAATCGCCTGCCTCCAACTTGCATGTCGTATCAACCATTTTCCTCTCGAGAGGAAGGCTGTATTACGTCAGGCTGAAAAGTCTCTCTGCCTTCTTAAATACAGTGCCATGCCAGTTCTCCATTCCAGCGTGGCACTAAATTTAAGAAAGTAATCTTAAGAGAGTCTGGTTGAGCCTGTAACCGCTGCTGAAAAGATGCATTTATCTGCAATAGGGCAAGAGTAACAAAGCTAGCAAGTCAAATGCTGCCAAGCTTTAAGAACTTAAACTACAAGGGCAAGACTAAGTCACTCAGTCTCAGAACCACAAATCAGTTCATGGTTGTCCTCAGCCTCTGAACTAGCCCGTGGCACCAGATGACAGCGTTAAGAGGAAGAAAGGCTTTTTCTGCACTTCTCTGCCTCCTCATCGTAAACAAACACCCTGCAGAGAAGTTACACTGGGGAAATGCTACCGCTCTTATTCAGTGTATTTTCTCTAGATGATGGTACTTAGCGGAAGACTGTCAGGCTTATGTTTTTTTCAAAAAAAAAAATACTTGAGTAAATCCAGATTTAAGAATGATGCCGGAATCTTTTCAACAGCCATACAAATGAGTGAAGTGATTTGTAAAGGGCTACCCCTCTTTTGCTCTTTAGTGAATCACGATTGCCTTCTTTTACAGCATAACCTCGAAAGGAAAGCAGTGACCCTGGCATTGCCATGCTCTGCCTTGCCACAGCCACGAGCCCTCCAGAAATGATGAGTTCTACCTAAAGAAGCAGCAGAGTTCTAAGTTTTCCATGCCCTTCATCTGTATGCCACTGTCACGAGAAACTTCATTCAAGGGCTGCGATGCTCACCCGACTCAATAGGAGGATTACGGATAACATCAGAAATGATCTGTTGAACACCAGCAGTCAAACCTGCTCGCTCCAGGTTGACAGGGTAGCCAGCTTTCATCGCCTGGAACAGGTGAGTGCCAACCTCAGAAAGTGGCAGAGACCTGCTCTCGCTTATAGCCCTCTAGGAAAACAAAGACAGAAGGAATCAGATGTAGCAGAAGTGCCTGAAACACAACTGAAAGCTCAAAACCCGGCGACCTCCCGTTCCCAAAAAGCACTCAGGGGATACTGGCACACAGCAGTGCAACAAAAGCTCCCCAAACCACTTTGCTACTCCTGATATTTGTCTCACTCCTTTTCCAGCTTGTAAAGAGCATTTTTCTCTTGAGGCTACTACTTCTCAGCATGAGCGCAACATCTCAGCTTGAACAGCAGAGAAGTTCCACACAGGAAGGGTGCTGTGTGGCCACCCCAAAGGCTCACTACAGCCTGCTTATAGCTCACACTCCTCCTTGTCACAACGCTCACTACCACCCCCTTTCCACAATGAGGCAGCTGAATCCCAGCAATTTCTACCACAAAGGAAACGGATGCTCTGACTTAACTGTGAGGCAAGAGCATCAACCCAGCTCCTACATCATGAGCCTCCTCCATCAAAACTTCAGGTGTCACCTGCCAAGTAGCTGTGACACACCTGACCTTCCAGTGGCCCATTTGATTAATAACATCTAGGCAGAACATGGGTAACAGCACCAAAACAAATCCCCCCCTCGTTTTCACATCTGTTAGATTAATTCTTCTCTTAAAACATTTACCTTGAAGAAAAACATCTCCAACCTGACCTACCTAAACTTGTATTTTCAAGGAGACATTTCAGACAGGCTACTTGTCTTACCCAAAAAAGCAGGTTTCAAGCTTCTACTCATTTCTCCCCAGACAATATACATACTGTGCATATAATCATCAGGATTAGTGGATACAGAGCATCAAGTTACCCATTAATAACTGTTTCTTCCTAATTAGTCCTTAGGTACACTTTTAAGTTAGGGACTATCTGACAAGGTTTATCCATACTCTTGGGAGGGGCAAACCAAAAAACTCAAAGCAACTTCAGTTTCCTACTGTAGAATTAAAAAGCAATAAAGAAAACTGTATCAAAGCAGCTCATGAGGTTCATCTTCACAGGGCATGTGGCATGATGCCAGTTTAGCCACATGCCCTGTAGCAGCACTTCAATGACTTAGATGCAACAGGTAACTTGTCCTTAACTTCTGTTCGTAACAGGAAACACAGCTTTCTGAAATCTGAAGTAGAAAGCCATGATAGCACTTAGCACTTAGACTTCAGTTTTGCACTCAATGTTCCCATGAGCTTTGTTTCTTGACATGCGAGTCTTACACACGGATATGGCATAAGCAAAGGAATAGGGATTTGCTACCTAAACCAAGAAGAGAATTAGTGAAATTAATCCCAATGGTGATTAACCTTGAAAATATGCCTACATACAGCCCCAGGCTCTGTGTCCTTTCCAGCAGGCTATTGGATCAGGAAGTTTTTTGCTGGATGCCTTCACTACCATGAAAAGAGAAAAATACAGAAACAGGTAGGACTAACACCTGAAATAGAAAAGCACGCTGTATAACTGTACTGGAACAGGCCAATGAACTAACAGCAACAACTGCCTGATGCCCCGCCAGTCTGTGCAGGCACTGTAATGAGCAGGGACCTGTATCTTCTCTCACTGCATCCCACCTCACAGCGAGCCCAGTTTTTCATATTTTTACTAGTCCATAGAGATAAGTTAGATGAGCTATCACTTGCCAGGAAAGATACTGCCTCAGTGTTTTGAAACTACCTCGCCCCAGCACTGGGCAGAGGATTTCTGAGAACTTTCAAGTCCCCCTCTAGACAAAGCATCCCTGCCATTAGTTTTCAACAAGGAAGGGACCTCCACAGGGAAGAGCTTACCACAGAGAGATTCTTCTCTTGGAACAGGACGTAGGTGACCTGCTCTGAACGAGAGAGGGGTCTAGTACACTTCCAAGGAGATGCTTCAGTCTGACCTTCAGATCCAGATGTGGGGAAAGTGTCCGTCTAAAGTGAGATAAAGAGAACTTAGAAGAATATCCCAGTGACAACCGATGGATCACCCTCCCATTATCTGAAATGATCTAAAAGAGTAACATAAATGGAGTCATTCATCTCTATGGAGGTTGGTTTTGACCCCAAGTCTGTGTTCCACAAGAAAAAACAAGCAAAGACAGAAAGCAGATGGACGCCCACAGATTCCCATCTTAATAAAACAAGCATGCAATTGTCCAAGGGACTTTCAAATCAACACCAACCAGAAAAATGGTGTCCAGGTCAATACAACTTCTTATGTGTTGCTCGATACACGTAAAACTATTTCATCAGAACAAACTGTGGTATTCAGTCTGCTGCTCAGTATGGGAAACTCCTCCATTTGCTTTAATCTCTTACTCACCACAGATTTATTAAAAAAAAAAAAAAGGAATGCTTTTGGTCCCTATTACTAGATTGTGATAGCTTTCTGTAAAGGAGAAAGAAGACTCCACAGAGTCTTTTCAAGCATTACAGAGAGTAGTACTGCTGCTCTACCTGCTTTCTAGACTGAATAAATCCCTTTAACTGTAAATTTACATAGAAATTAAGATCCCCAAAGCAAAACTGCTTCATAGTTCCTCTAATCCCCTGCTCCACGGCCCCTCCCTAGTGGTGTCTCTTGCCTGTGACTGATGAGGAGCCATTCTACAGAAGTCTCAGACAGAAGAAAATCAACATGAGAAGAGAACCAACAAGAGTATTTCCAACTGCTGGAAGCGTAAGCTCTTCTGCCAGTCTCCTAACAAGAAACTTAGGGGAAGCAAAGCCCTGCCCTCCAAGTCTGTGAGTCAATAAACCACAGTGAAGGACCATTTACCATACCTTTGGCCTCTAGCCCCAAATCGCAGTAGCTAGCTGCAAGCTCTCAGCAACAGGGCACCCACTGGACACTGAGCCTGGCCAGATGGGTGACCTTTAGAAGGATGTCCCAGGCTTTCAATATGACCACACCCATCTGGAAACATCAGCCAAGTAGCACGTTAAGAATTGGGAGGCCTATTGGGACACAAGGCTAGCAAGTTTCACTACCATGCTTGGATGGAATAGCTGTGATGATGACAAACTGCAGACAAAATGACGTCTTTAGCCTCTTCCAAAGTAGCAGACACTTTAAGCCATACCTGCAAACCATTCACTCGGCAGAAGTCCTTAATTTCATCCAGAAGGGGGACCAACATGGTGGATTTTGCTTCAGATACACCATCAATTCTCTTCACATTCTCCACACTCGTAGGCCTAGTTTAGGACAAATAATAAAAGCCATGGAAGTGTCCTATGCCAATGCTTCAAAAGATCAAGAGTCTGTGAATGACACATGTTTGGACCACACACCTGTTAGTCAAAACTTCAAAGTGTTATTGCACCCTCATTGTCTCTGCCCCTAATTAAGTTCACCATTTGCACTTTGAATCATGAAGCCTGACCACAGCAAAAGCTTCAAATTTGCTGCTCAGTACTTTAGAGGGTGAGTTTACTGCATCCATCCTTATTTGCTTTCACCTCCCAAGAGCACATAAGCCCAGAGCTCCGCCATGGAATAACATACACATTCCAAAAATAGTATTGTCCAATGCCTTTCAGTAGCTGAGGAAAGCACTTCAGATGCATCACCAACTGAGCTGCCCCACAATACCCTCTCATACAATGAGAAAAAAAAATGAATAATTTTTTCCCCTCTTTTCAGTAGTTGAGCACAACATCAAATGGTGCTTATGCTTTTACACTAGAGCTACCCGTGCCAGGTAAGAGACAGCTCCTAACCTGTAGCTGACCCTTAGCAACAGAAGGGCATACTAAAATGATTAAAAACACATTGGAGAGAAGCAGATGGAAAGGTAAGGATTAGTAGAGAACATACACCTTACTCCTGACTGGTCAACCCGACAGGGGGTTTGGATACAGAGACAGGCAAAGTTGTCATTTAGGGTGGTTTTTTTTTTTTTTTGAATAGCTAGAATTAAGAAGCAAGCCTGATGCCAATAGCTGTTTAACTTATACCAGTCAGCGGTCTACAAGGGTATTTGAGCAAATTAAGATCTTCAGGAAAGGAGCTGCTCCTCCACCAAACAAAAGATACTCGCCCACCAAAAGCAGAAAGGGGATTTGTGACTTGGCTTGCAACCTTCTCAGCTTGTGTAACAACATGTACGCCTGCTGGCTTTACCTTATTCGGGCCATCTCCACCAGGACCTTATTGGTTGCCAAGACAGCTGGAGGAATTACCTTCTCATTAGCTACCTTCTGTCTAGCAGTCAGCAACTTGCCATACAGAGCAGTCTGTGAACAAGAGAGCCAAATTCTCATGAAGCAGCTCTAGATCACTCACATAACTATAACTACGAGGTAAAGTTATCAATTCCCTTATCTTCCCACTAATACACAAGACCCCTGCAATCCCTTAACCTACCTTAACATATTTAAATCCTCTTCTAGGACTTCTATTCAAAACATCTTAATATTACGAAGGGCTGGCCAAGCCAGCTGCTCCAGTACAGGAGGACTGTGGTCTGCAGGTTGACTGCAATTCATAGGCATTTTCCCTCTTCCCAAAGCTTACCTCTAGTTCTTTCTCTCGTGATGGAACAACAGGTTCCGAGGGCTTCAGAGGAGAAGATTTCACCTGTGAGTGCTCTGCAACACTAAAAAAAATAAAGTGGGAAACAAGCCCTGTGTTAGATGAATTTTTTCAGGAACTTTGCACAAGGCTGTGGGAGAGCAGCAGCCCGACTTCATTTGCCTACTCTCCGGCAGCACCATCAGACTGCAGTCTGGCACGTCAGGCTAGCACTGCGCTCACACGGGACATGAGCTGGTTGGGGCAAAATCAGCAGCATTCCTAATCTAACAGAAATCCTCTGTATCTGGTCCTGTAACTTAAAATAGCTTCTTACTGTACAAAGCTCAGAACAGATGAAATGACCATTTTGTGAAAAAAGCCAAGCCACAAACACACCAATAACCCTGTCAACAGCTGGATTCCCATATTGTTGACAAAAGCATGTTCTTACAAGCACTTATCCATTCATTTTATTATTCTGACAGCATCCCATGAGAAACACCTTACAGTTGTCCCCACAGCCGGTAACATTAATCCTGACCAAAAGGAGCCAATAACTTCAAAAGCATCAAGGACAAGGCCACAGCTGCTGCACTGTAAGCAGAATTAGCTGGTGTTCCCACTCTGCCCATCTGCCAAGGGAGCAGCACCACAGCTACCAGTCCATGGACTCATGTGCTTCGGGACACTCACCCCTAATTAGACTGCTATGATTATACTGCAGTATCTGTTAGCAGATGAGCTGGAGTAAGAGCATCCTTTCCTAACTGTGAAGAAACACTTGCTTTGGATTGCAGCCGTCCCTAAAATGCTTTTTCTTCACATGGCTACAGTGGCAATTTTTCAGCTTAAGTGACATCTTATTTTCCTGTCATCTGCCAGCATCATGCTGCTTGCCTGAAGGAAGAATCCAGCTCCTCAGAAATGCAAGGTGTGTTTAATCTGAAGCACTGTACAAGCCAGCAAAATAAAAAAAACTACTTAGTTTTTTGCAAAAGCTTGTTTTATTTCTTTTGTCCTGAGGGAGTTTCAACTTGACCTCAGTCTTCTCCAGACTTGCGTATGAAGGCAGAAGCCTACATGCTCGCTTATAGCCCCCCACGCAAAGCATACATCCGGATCTGCCAGCTTTGAGAGCAAGTCACAACTGTGCCACTTGTTTGCCAGAATTATGTTTGCAAACTGTTTTAAAAAAAAAAAATTCTCCGTATCTTATTTCAAACCATCACAAGTTAAAAATCCATTACCGTTTCAACCACCACATTGAAGACAGACTAAAAAGTCAAAGTATCCAATATAAATCTGCTACTGCTCTATTTTTATCGTAATCGGTTATTTTTCTTGCTTGAATTCAAGCAATACCTGCGAGAAGTTTGCACTTGAGCAATTAATAAAGCTTGCTTTTCCTGTGACACTGCAAGTATACACAACATGTCAAATTCAAAGCCTGTACAATGTTGTAATCATTCAACTTTTGAAATATAATGCTGTGCACAGCAAGTTATAAGCGCTTGTCTTTTTGAATACTAAGCCTTTTTACCCTCACTTCACATAGGACAATGCTGGTTTTAAGGATTATCCTGCAAACTATATTGTTAGTAACACAGTCAAAATTAAGTAATACGGTTTAAATTTACAATACTGTACCTGTTAAGGATGTTACTGCTTCTTGGAGGAGTTTTACATTTTCTCTCATATGAAAACATATCATACAGAGACATCTATAAAAAAATAGAAGAACAAGACAAATGCTGATTGCTATTACCAGTCTTTCCACTGAAGTTGCAGTTAGCAGCAAAATACTCATTTGTGACACCATGACACACTTGCAACGTTTTCTAATAGCAAGAAGGACAGACCACAGAGCGCAAGAGGAGTCGTGCTCATACAGACCTGCTTGCCTGGTGACTGCTTTGTTCCTTTCATGTCTGGGGAGCGCTGCGTTGAAAGGGCAGGTAAAGGTCTATTGCTGTAATAAAATGAATTACATCTTAATCCAATCAGACCAAGTCACTCGTACAGTGACACTGCCATTTAAAAAACCGTAACATTTCGCTAAGCAAACCGATTTGAATTTGATACAGGGATATCTTTGGCAAATCAGAAGTTCGTACAGTTTTTTTTTTATTTTTAGTATCACCGTTCTTTGTGAAAAGACGGTGAGGACCTGAAAGCCTATTAATACTAAAACTTTAACAAGAAACAAGAATCTTGTGTTATGGAAGAAACTAAGATTTTGGGGACAAAAAAGGAATTTTTGTGACAACATTTCAAAGATTCAATTTTAAAGATCCCATTACTGGAGAAAACAAACGAGCACCAGCCTTCTGGTTTGCCCTAAGCATACAGCTTTCTCTGTTGCTGATCATTTTATTATATACATTTTTTTTTTTTCTTCTAGAAGGCCTAGAGAGAGCAGGTTAAAGAGCCACAGCAGTAGAATATTATAAGGAAAAGAAAATGGGTACTTCGTCATTAGTTGATTTTCTTATTTTTTAGCAACACTAAGGCCATCTAGACCCCAGAACAGGCTCCTAAGGCCACACTCCCGAGAGCTTTGTTCCAATATTATTTCTTGTCACAGCAAAGCCTCTGCAACCCCCATTCATTATCTTCCACTTCAAAAGGGTTGGCCAGAATTAGTGTTTGTGAAGCCCAACACAAGGCTGTTCCTTAGGTATAACCAGAAGCAAAAGATGACAAGCAAAACCTCATATACTATTTTCTTGGAGCTATACACTCCGATGGCAGATACCTGACCACCACTGAAAAAACACCCCACTTTTACAGACACACTCAGCAAGACTACAAATAGTTAAAATTTCACAAGAAGAAATACACAAAGACAGATAAACAATTACACATTCGTGTCAAATCAACTCTTGTCACAATGAAGGCTTTTCTCTTTCATTCTCACCTTAAACATTGTCAAAAAGTAGGTCAAGTGCATAACTGGCAAAGTAAGTTGTTAGCTGATCTATTTTAGGTCTCACGGTTTAACTCATCAGCATTAGAAAGAACCTAAGTCTTGACAGATTTTCTTCTACCGTTTATTGTCTTTAGCCAATTACTTTCTCCACGAGGATGCGTTGCTACAACATGCTTCCAGGCTACCCGACATCATCGATAAAGACCCACACTTTCCAACTAGTTTTGGTCATTTCTCTGTTACATTTCCCCACCAACCTTCCCCATTACATGACCATCCGATTAGCTCCGCTGACGACCTCAGGTGATGAGGCACTGTCAGATTTAAGATACGAGCCACGAATCTCTCAGGATGACTAGACAACCTGTCACCTTTCATACCACCTGTGAGTAGAGTTGTCTGTCCAGGCACTCCCACTGACTTTTTTTTATATTGTGAAACTGCCTAAGGGAAAACTTTGGGTAGAAAAAAAAAATCAAGTGCAGAAGTATCCTGTCCAACCTAACCATCTCCAGAAGCAAGCTTCAGAAACTGATCTGATGTTAAATAAAAACGTGCTCAGAAGAACACATGTACTGTAATTACCTTCTAGGAGGTTTCTGCAGATTAAGGTCTTCGCTGGACTGTAATAGGAGACTTGGATTTGAGGCTGATCCAGCTTTTAACAGCCAATTTCTACCCTTTAAGAAATGAACCGTACGGGTTAGCTACAGATTACTCAGAGCAGCTTTCAATGGCTAGTTTCACACCAAAACATACCTTCTGGGTAAGCATACATGTGGTTGCAAACTTGCTAGGCAGAGAGGCCTCTTTGAGGAATCCTTCCATTATCAACTGTTGGCAGAGCAATTTCCACCAGTTCTCCGGCCACTCTTTTCCACTACCAAACAGAGGGTGTCTTCGGTATCTCTCTGGCACACGCTGAGAACACTGAAATTGTTGAAGGAATTGGTCAGACTCCTCCAGTCCTCGTGGAAGACATTTTCCAATGTAACCAGTAAACCAAGAACCTGAGATGCAAGGAGCACGTCCTCAAGAACGTTTCTCCACAGAAGAACTTGACATAATACCCACGACAATAACCACACCTACAGCACCTCAATGATAAGAGCATAAACCACATCTATTGCCCCATTCATGTCACCTGAAGAGCAGTTACACCTCTACTGACCTAACTCAGTCCTGGGCTTTCTGCCAAGGCTTTGACAAGATCATGACTTTGTTTCGTTCTAAGACCCCATGCAGACCTACACTTAGATGACCCAATTCTTCAAATATCTCCCTTAAAATATAGAAGAGGTTACAGGAACGACCCAGTCATCCACAGCAGCAAAGAAAGTGATCTAGTACAGTTTGTATTCAACCAGTTCAGGTCAATATTGCATTACACAAGTTCTAACAGAAGCCATTAACCATCCTGGTTTTAATTAAAAAGAGCCTACAGAAGTAAAAATAAAATTGACAAGTCCTGCTTAAATCCTAGGACAGGGGTATAAAGCCAGAAGCAAGCTCACTGTAGATGCCTACTTTATGCCTCCTCCAGCCTTTGTTGCAAAGCGGTTTTTAGTCAGTTGGGGGTTTTTTTTGTTTTGTCTTATCAAGTTGCTGATGTACTCATCTCTTACCAATGGCTCAGACTAAAAAAGCTGATTAGTTCCTGTCTGATGGCTTCTCACCCCCCTGAGCTCAGGGCCCAAAAGCTCAGGGCTAAAGCCCCTTTGACAAGAAAAACTCTGGTTAAGAGCCTAAAAAGTTGAGAACTTCTATGAAACAGAGAGGTAACAGGGGGTCAAGCATTAGCAGGTGAAAGCGTCTCAGAAGTTTCAATTTATTGCTAAAATATGAAGTCAACAACAGGAAGGCAGGCTTGCTTCAGACCCTGTTATTCATAAACTTGCTGCATCCCTCTCCACTGGGGAAACTACATGGCCAAACAAGTAATATTTTTTTTATACGTGTGCATGTATATAAACCAATTACATCCTCCAGAGAGTGTATGTATATATGTACACATTTCTGCGATGCTGGTTAGATAAAGTCCCATGGGAGGAGGTGGTAGAATAATAGCAGGAGGTGTGACTAAATTATAATCTTGGACAACAGGAGACAGTGGGGCGGAGGGCCGCCGCTTGCCATCTATAGGACTGGTAGTTAACACAGGTATTCCAGATTCCTGTTAGTACTTTGACCAGAATCCCTTCTTCACACTAGGCACTATGTAAACACAGAGCATCTATCCCCAAGAACGCAGTTTTCCTTTTTAAGGAAAACAAAACAGGCTGATGGGGAGCAGAAGTCAGTCGCCTACGCGGCAGGCAGAGGGAAAGAACCACATCCTGTGTCCTCTCTTCTAGAAAGCCCTCGCTCAACTTCTCACACACATTACTTCAAAGCATGACTACGTTCCTAAGCTTTCAGTTATGCCAGTTACATTAATTACTCCAATGGCTATACATGTTCACAGCATGGTTTTGGACTTATAAAACAAATTCAATGATGGAAACAACTATAAAAGTAGTAACATGCAAACCAGTAAATTCTGTGTCCATTTTTGGGCTAAGCATCAATTCAACTTGGTGTAGGACGGACCAACAGAAGCCAAACCAGCAATTTCAGCTTGGTACAAATTCTTAAATGCTAGAGATACTACTAAAAGCCACTCACAACCAGTCACCAAGACTACTAATAACAACAAAATAATAGCCGAAATAGCTACATATTCCCCCGTTTGCTGATAAAAGGAGACCTTAAGTTGCATATCCTTCTTGATATAGCACCATTAGTATGATATTTCCGTCAAAGCAGCTCTAATTCAGTTTCCCAGAGGACACCGTTCACTTTCATGGTCTGACTCAGCTTTCAAATGTTAAGTGCAACACTGTCTCCCCCTGTGGTCCACCCAAAGCCTGTTAAAGGCCACCCGGACTTTGCAAGATACCGCTAACTTCAAAAGAGCCTGAATTCTCCATAAACTACGCACAAACTTTTAAAGCAACATACCAATCAGCCTCAGACAGATTTTACATGTAAACTGATGGCGATACTGATCATTTCATACATTTGTTCTAGACTATACATTAATGCAACCACGTCAAGAAACATTTTTTTAATTAAGTTACCCAGAAAAGGGTATTTTTGAAGGCAGTAAAAGGTTATTTCATATCTGCAGTGAAAATTTGGCATCTTCACTTCTTCTAGTAATGTCTTAATAAACAATCAAGACTAAATTGAAATCTGTTAGAGAATTTTTGTCCCCTAGACACACCTGTGTGACAATCAGCAACTTATCTATATTATTAAAAGGAAATAAAAGGGACATCATTCACCTAGTTTAATCAACAACTACAGGTGGGGTTTTTTTCCCCCCCAGGTTATAAACATAACAAGTGATTCTGTTCTTACTCTCGTATTTTACTTCTGGCAAGTTTCTTGCCTAGTATTTAAACATAAGTAAAGGTACATAGAAATCATTTGTAGTCATTGTAGTATCCTACTTCCCATCTCACTTTGCATTACACAAGTTCTAACAGAAGCCATTAACCATCCTGGTTTTAATTAAAAAGAGCCTACAGAAGTAAAAATAAAATTGACAAGTCCTGCTTAAATCCTAGGACAGGGGTATAAAGCCAGAAGCAAGCTCACTGTAGATGCCTACTTTATGCCTCCTCCAGCCTTTGTTGCAAAGCGGTTTTTAGTCAGTTGGGGGTTTTTTTTGTTTTGTCTTATCAAGTTGCTGATGTACTCATCTCTTACCAATGGCTCAGACTAAAAAAGCTGATTAGTTCCTGTCTGATGGCTTCTCACCCCCCTGAGCTCAGGGCCCAAAAGCTCAGGGCTAAAGCCCCTTTGACAAGAAAAACTCTGGTTAAGAGCCTAAAAAGTTGAGAACTTCTATGAAACAGAGAGGTAACAGGGGGTCAAGCATTAGCAGGTGAAAGCGTCTCAGACAGAAGTTTCAATTTATTGCTAAAATATGAAGTCAACAACAGGAAGGCAGGCTTGCTTCAGACCCTGTTATTCATAAACTTGCTGCATCCCTCTCCACTGGGGAAACTACATGGCCAAACAAGTAATATTTTTTTTATACGTGTGCATGTATATAAACCAATTACATCCTCCAGAGAGTGTATGTATATATGTACACATTTCTGCGATGCTGGTTAGATAAAGTCCCATGGGAGGAGGTGGTAGAATAATAGCAGGAGGTGTGACTAAATTATAATCTTGGACAACAGGAGACAGTGGGGCGGAGGGCCGCCGCTTGCCATCTATAGGACTGGTAGTTAACACAGGTATTCCAGATTCCTGTTAGTACTTCGACCAGAATCCCTTCTTCACGCTAGGCACTATGTAAACACAGAGCATCTATCCCCAAGAACGCAGTTTTCCTTTTTAAGGAAAACAAAACAGGCTGATGGGGAGCAGAAGTCAGTCGCCTACGCGGCAGGCAGAGGGAAAGAACCACATCCTGTGTCCTCTCTTCTAGAAAGCCCTCGCTCAACTTCTCACACACATTACTTCAAAGCATGACTACGTTCCTAAGCTTTCAGTTATGCCAGTTACATTAATTACTCCAATGGCTATACATGTTCACAGCATGGTTTTGGACTTATAAAACAAATTCGATGATGGAAACAACTATAAAAGTAGTAACATGCAAACCAGTAAATTCTGTGTCCATTTTTGGGCTAAGCATCAATTCAACTTCGTGTAGGACTGACCAACAGAAGCCAAACCAGCAATTTCAGCTCGGTACAAATTCTTAAATGCTAGAGGTACTACTAAAAGCCGCTCACAACCCGTCACCAAGACTACTAATAACAACAAAATAATAGCCGAAATAGCTACATATTCCCCCGTTTGCTGATAAAAGGAGACCTTAAGTTGCATATCCTTCTTGATATAGCACCACGTGTAGGACTGACCAACAGAAGCCAAACCAGCAATTTCAGCTCGGTACAAATTCTTAAATGCTAGAGGTACTACTAAAAGCCGCTCACAACCCGTCACCAAGACTACTAATAACAACAAAATAATAGCCGAAATAGCTACATATTCCCCCGTTTGCTGATAAAAGGAGACCTTAAGTTGCATATCCTTCTTGATATAGCACCATTAGTATGATATTTCCATCAAAGCAGCTCTAATTCAGTTTCCCAGAGGACACCGTTCACTTTCATGGTCTGACTCAGCTTTCAAATGTTAAGTGCAACACTGTCTCCCCCTGTGGTCCACCCAAAGCCTGTTAAAGGCCACCCAGACTTTGCAAAAAGATACCGCTAACTTCAAAAGAGCCTGAATTCTCCATAAACTACGCACAAACTTTTAAAGCAACATACCAATCAGCCTCAGACAGATTTTACATGTAAACTGATGGCGATACTGATCATTTCATACATTTGTTCTAGACTATACATTAATGCAACCACGTCAAGAAACATTTTTTTAATTAAGTTACCCAGAAAAGGGTATTTTTGAAGGCAGTAAAAGGTTATTTCATATCTGCAGTGAAAATTTGGCATCTTCACTTCTTCTAGTAATGTCTTAATAAACAATCAAGACTAAATTGAAATCTGTTAGAGAATTTTTGTCCCCTAGACACACCTGTGTGACAATCAGCAACTTATCTATATTATTAAAAGGAAATAAAAGGGACATCATTCACCTAGTTTAATCAACAACTACAGGTGGGGTTTTTTTCCCCCCCAGGTTATAAACATAACAAGTGATTCTGTTCTTACTCTCGTATTTTACTTCTGGCAAGTTTCTTGCCTAGTATTTAAACATAAGTAAAGGTACATAGAAATCATTTGTATTCATTGTAGTATCCTACTTCCCATCTCACTACTCCAAGTCAGCCAGCAGTATAAAGCTAGAACACAAGCCATCATTTGCATTATTCGAACACAAACCAACTAGTTACCAAGCCAAGATGTGTTTATTCTTCATGCTGAAAAGGCTATTCCTTTCAGGATAATGGAAGTCATGCAGCTTCACGAAGACAACACTTAACTGTCTCGAAATCATCAAACTCACCATAAAGGAAACAAAAGCTCAAACCTTACAGGAAGAGCTTTATAACCTCTGCCAACACTTGGGCTGGCATCATGTGTTTAACAGACAATTGTCAATAACCAACTCAAAACAACCCACAAAATACAGGACAGTTCCACACAAGGCAAGTAACAGGTACTGTTTCCAAGCTGAACTCTCAGGCCATAGAATGCTGAACACTGCACCGTTTAATATATATAGTACACACATTTATTTTTATATGTATCAAGAGGGACACCGTAACCGTCACTCCACTCGCAGAACACATACAAGGATTTTTACCATCACGTACAGAGCCTCGGAGAAACAAAATGGGAACTCTAGTTCCAAACTTCTCTTCCAGAGCACTCACTGCAGACAGCAGCTGATACGCTTGCTTCCCAAAGTCCTGTAAACCACCGTCTGCGTCAGTCGAGACCGCAAGACAAGAGGCTCTGAAATGCACAAAGAAACCAAGTTTAACACACATAGAAATCAAGTCCCCTCCCCTCGTTTCAAATGTGGGCTATGAAGTAATATCCAAATAAAATACACACTTCAGGTTACAGTAATGTAAACAGTTAAACATGTTTAAGCATAAGTAACTAGGACTGAAAACACAAGACCAAGCAAAATCAACATCACTTGTAGTTAAGACAGCTGCCCAACCCAACAATAAGCAGTTCTTCATGGTACTTGCTGTGACATAAAATCATTGCCTCTGCCATCTTCCAAATTTTGTATTTGATTATCTAGACTGTTTTACGCATATAAAACATATCTTTAATTGCACCTAAGAGCAAAAAGGTTTTGGTTTTTTTTTCTTTTTAAATAACAAAAAAGGGAAAAAACTGAAGGAAAGACCAATCCCATTCAATATTTTCTAACGTTTTTTAAGGCCTTTATTACTGACCAGAAAACCCATTGATAAGTTATTTGCACAAGTGACTTCTAATGAGGAGAAAGGGACAATGATCTATTTCAAGTGATTTCAGTTCCGCAACACAAATTCACTATGTGGCACTCTACTAGCACAGCAACATGACCACCAAGACTGCAGTTATATCTCAAATTCTCTTCCTCGTTAGTTTCACTAGAGACCAGGCAAAGATTCCTTAATCCTTGAGCATACAGTAAGTGTAGCTGATTTGATATAATTTTTCCAGAAAGCAACACAGCACAGCACCTTTTCTCTGATCAGGGAGCGTCAGGCTACCAGCAAAAACAAGGAATCCTGTATTGTATCTTTAGGGAAAGTGTGTACATACACAGAGGAGAAACAGAGGAAGGTGTTTCTGCTCATACCTGTGTGACTACAGACCCCCCAGCTTCCCTTCAGCACATCTATGAGACTATTAGCAGTGCTCTAAAGAAAACATGTCAGCACCTGCTGTAACAGGAGAACAGCTCCCTTAACGCTCCGGCAGTTAAGCCTTAGACTCATGGTATCGCATTCCACTTGCAAGAGTTATATTTTGGGATTAATTACCCAATGATGGGACTTAAACTGATGAACAGAAGCGTATTTCATAGCCTGAGAGCATTGCTCCAAACTCTTTTTAGGAACTGTAACCATATTTTGTCTGCAGGCTTCCCCACAGCCTAACTTAGAGCTTACAAGCTGCCTCATGGTTTGCTCAACTCTTTAGGAGAAGGTTAGAGACAGCAGTTCAGAGACAGGCTTCAGGCTGAACATCTGCAAGATCAAATGCGTGAAAAGTCAATTCTTTTAGATAATTTGCCTTCCTAAGTCAGCCTGAGAGAACATCATCTCTTGTATCAGTCTTCAGGGAAGAAAGCTTACCTGGACCTGCAATTATCACAGCAGTCTTCCGTGCCCATGATGCCAGAGGAAGCCTTTCTGAGTTGTTTGTCTTCAAAATGAGACAGGATGATTCTACCCAAGGGAGTGTAGGGAATTAAATAAAAGACCAAGAATTTATGCATTAAACTTCTTGCAGAAAATTGAGTGGAAATCAGCTTCATTAATTAATTGCCTTGATTCCTCTAAAGAAAAGTTTTTTATCAAGTAAATAAGGAAACACTTGATGTATATTTATAAATAAGCTGAAGGCTGTATTTTCTGATACTGCTTTTTAATTTTTAACATGTTTGCAGAACCCATTGTAAGTGTAAGATGCCTTCTGGTTACAACTTGCAGTTGTGACCGAGTCGCAACGGCTCTTAAAGCTGACTAAAATGACATAAAACGTTAAATAGATTCCAGTACTCACTTCCTCCTGCAGGTATTTGACATAAGGTACTTCTCTATTTTTGCCAACATCTTCAGTTTGTACAACCGGAAGCCTTCATTGCGTATCTCGCTTAGAAGATGTCTGCCAGTCAAAAGGAAAAAAGAGCAGCCTTAAATAATGACAACTATCCCCCTGTCCCACACCAAAAATGAAATATGCCAGACCACTGTCTTGCTCAAATTCACCAGAAACAGCTAGAAAAAAAAATTCTACTAAAACCAGACCCAAACTGTCTGCCCGTTTCTCCACAGTCTTGATCGTTATAGCACTGGGCATACCCAGAGGAACATCTTATATTCTTCTACATATGACAATTATTCTAAACAGAGCAGAAGGGGAGAGAGCAAGCCTCTTCCAACCCCACAAGCTACTAAGTTTCAGAAATCCACATCAGAAGGTGAAGAGCAGTGAACCAAAGGAAAAGGGCATTGAGAGGGGGTAATTTCCCCTCAGTCTCAAGTTTTCCAGACAAAGTGTGGCAAGTTGTCATCAATGCCACTGCTGAATGACCAAATAAGCTAAAATATCATCACCCATCTTTTAAGAAACCTGGGGGCAGCATGTTAGGACAACATCTACCTGTTGATTCATTTAATATCCTTCCGAGTCACTTCACTGGAAGCATCCAGCTGAGGAAATATCGTGAAAGTACTGGATGGGTGTATGGAGCACACACTCTGCCCATGCCCTATGCTGCTGCCTGAGCCACACCTGAGCTACCATCTGCACCACCCTCACTCTGCCACATGGCATGGAAAACAAGCCAACACTGCAGGTGTTGGGCACCACGTTAAGGCAGCTACATCATTCCAGCTCAAAGTTGAGCTAAGCAAGTTTCTGCCTGCCTGGGGGAAAAAAAAAAACCACAAAAAAACCACACCACACAAAAAATACCAAGAGCAGGGAAGCATATTGTTTCACAGACTCAGGCAGCCTGCTGACACAAGTTCAAATGACTGAGTTCAGACATTTCTGTGGCCCTATACCAGCTATGGACAAAGTTAATACAAGACCTCTACAACCAGAACACCCCCAGCCAGAAGATAAAAAAAAAATATTATTTTTCCATTCAAACATCTAGATAGAGAAAAAAAATAATTCTACAGCATCAGCACTCTTAAGGGGTCTAAGATGGGTCTAACCAAACCAGGTCAGATGGATCAGATCTAAAAACAGGTCGGGTGATTTACAAGACAAGCAACCAGGTTTTATCACTGCCTGCCTTGCAAAGCATCTTCAGAAAGCAGAACTGGAACCAGGATAAACTCACTAATGTTACTGCACTTATGGATTGTCTTCTAGAAAGAGTATAGCATACTCAGTGCTGCGTGTGTGCAGGAAAGGACTTGGATATGTTCTGAAAAACAAATCACATTTTCAACCAAACCCACCTTGTTCCTCTTCCTTTTGGTATGTTTTGGCTATCTATGTTAAAGCAGTTGTCTTCAGTCATTTACCTGTTAAAATTCAGGTCTGCCATAGTCCACAAGACATGACAAGAAGCAGGAAGCCCATCGCGACCAGCTCTCCCAATTTCTTGGTAATAGGATTCCATTTCCTTAGGGGCACCATAATGAATAACCATCCGGATATCTGCTTTATTGATGCCCATTCCGAATGCCACCGTAGCCACAACACACTACAAAACAGGAGCCACACGCTGAATGTTTTGAAATGAGCATCAAGAATCTGCCTGGAATAACGCTCACATACTTGGTGACAAATATTTTGCTACGGACTCAAAATTCAGCCTATATTACAACAGCCTCAAACTCACACTCCGCTTCCAGTCCTGCTTTTAAGTCTGATTTTGGTCACAGCACAAGTATAGGATTATAAAGAAGAGAGTGATGATGTGTTGTGACAAATGTTAGTGTTTTCAAGCAGTTTTTCTGAAAAGGCACAAAATCGTGAAGAGGAACACAAGCCCCACGGTAACTCTTTGCCTGCTTACCTGCGGGAGGAAGCAAGCACCTCACAGAACGTGCAATGATATTGTTCCAACTACCACCATTTTCCTCAGATGCTATGCATTTTTGAGAGACTTGGTAAATAAATTTGAAACAGAAGCCAGGAATCCTATTACTGTCACCACAGACCAGCGATTTCTTTGCCCAAAATCAGAGACAGAGTAAGTGGGAAACATATGCTGATATTCCCAAATTCTTTCTTCTACCAGAAACTCTGCAATTATAAATAGGACCAAGTTTCTTACATACCTGAATTTCATCCCTCATGAACTGGTGATGGATCTCTCTCCTTTGTTTGATTCCCATACCAGCATGGTATGCACCACAAGCCACACCAAGTTTCATCAGTTCGGACACAACCTGTTCCGTGGCCTTTCTCGAAGGACAGTAGACAATAGTGGGGCCTTCAAACTCATATGCAGAACTGCTATAAATAATAGCAACATGTAAAGACACAGAACAGAAGAAGCCACCCTTCTGCAAAAAGTCCAACTGAACCTAGTTCAAGAGGCAAGATAGATTTTCCAGCAGTTCACCTTCTTGGGGATTTATAAATTGTAACTGTTCTTAACCCATCCTCCCATAGACAAATTCTCTGTCCTTTGGAAAAATGAACCTGGAAGTTGTCTGTTGCTCTTAACTTTATTTTGCAAAACACAGAAGATATTGGTCTCTGTAGAAGCAGCAGGATAAGGCCTCCCAATTTCTTTCAAGTCATCAGGAAATGCACTCTCACAGCTGTCACTTTTGAAAGGTCTGCATTTACATAATAAAGTAGAAATGAGCAATGATAAATTCCTTTGTATTGCTGTAGAGGCACACACCAGAGCTTGCAACAAGGAGAATAACAGGGCCAGAATGGCTACAATCACTGGGCTGCTAACAGAAAAGGACTGCAATTCTTCTCCTGCTCAGGTGAGCTTTATTAAAAAAAAAAATAATCTGACCACAGACTTAGAAGAGGCTTTTGCACACACACTTTGCACAATACTGCTTCAGAAGTTACCCACCAGCCAAACCATCACAGTCATTCCTATAGCTACAGCACCTGCAGATCCTCTGAGGATCAAATGATCCCGAAGATACCTAAGCATGAAAAATGGAAACAGCACAAGTCCATTGCTCCTTGCCGCAAAAGCCTTTTATGAACCGGGAGAGAGGGGTGGGCACAACACAACAAGTGACTAGCATGGTATCAGAGCCAGGTTATGGAGAAAGCCCAGGCTCCTTCTCACCAAATCGGTTTAAGACTGCTACTAGTTCTTAGTACACAACACCAAAATACCAAGGTGTATCTGAGGGATCAACAAGAACAGGCTTAAGTCCTTACCTTCCTTTCCTAGTAAGGAACTGCTTCAAATCCCTAAGGATATTTCCACTTTGTCGTCCAACTTCTAAGAACAGGTTAGGTCTGTCAAAACTAGTACACATGATCTGGGGATTCTTCAGATTCAGACAACGCACTATGTCTTCTCTAATCGATGGACTTGCAGTTGCAGTTAACGCAACAATGGGAACCTGCAGTGAAAAGTAGAAGAAAAAGTCTGAGACCTCTCTTTTTTTTTTTTAACCAAAAAATATCGAGTCAGATCTGAAATAGCATGTAAGCAGGCACTTCAGTCTGTTTACAATCACTGGATCAACTCAGCTATTTGAAAAATATGATTAATATTTAGCTTTAGACCTTTGGTCTACACCATTCAGGAGAGCAGATGAGGACCAAACACTGTTGACCAAAATGCAGACTTTTTATTCTGAATGCACATTTACTTTAGTTACATCTTCAACAAGTCTACCGTAATTTTCTGATGTGGTTAGCTGAATTTAGGGAACATAGGACAAAACTTTCCAGAAGAGCATGTGAAGTTCAGGTCTAAGTTTTTGAGCTTATACAATAAAAGCTCAAGGAGTGTCTAGAAGTCACAGTTGCATGCTCTTAAAAGCCACTCGGTTTAAAGAAAAAAACCTCAATATTAAACCAGAAGCTTAGGGCCATCATCTTCCAAGACCATAGGGATCCAACAAAGCAATTTAATATTCAGAAGTTTCTGGTAGTCCAGGTACAGAACATCCTTCATTCATCACTTGGCAAAACCCACAAAGCTCAGTCACTGACAGGGACCACATAAAACTCTAAAACAGCATGCTAAGTACACCCAAAGAGCAACATTAGAAGAATGATATTTCCAGCTATCATATATAATGATATAATATCCTTTTCTTATATTAGAATTCAAACGTAACAAAACCTCACCAATGGCAGAGTCTTCTTTAACGAACCTAAAGTTCTAAAGGAATTTCTGAAGTCATGGCCCCACTCAGAAATGCAGTGAGCTTCATCAACAGCTATGAGGGTAATACCTGGTGGGCACAAAACCACAGCACGGACACATTAACGAGACAAACGAACCAACAAGATACAAACACCCTATTCTGCTCGATTTTGAGCTTGCCTGAGAAGGCACCAGTACTCTCTTTAAAGTTCTGTTTCTAGGGCGCCTTTTGCTGTACCAACTCCCCAAGCCCATTTTTATAGTGGCCTCTCTCCTAAAAAGGTCTAAGGGCTTTTACAGGCTCCCCCAACACCACCTCCAATTCCTTCAAGCTCCAAATCTCCAACATCCCTCACGATGAGTCAAGAAGCTGAGCTACCGCTGACAGGACATTTTCCCACCCCATCGCTTCCCAGACTTCCTTAGTAGTAGTCACACATGCTGATTACAGACGTCATTAGCTGTATTTTCTGGATTGTAAAACAAAGCTTGAATGTCTCCGGTCTGCACTGAAGAGAAAGTCCAGAAAAAACATGAGGGGAGGGGGGTCAGAGACACCCCTGGAAAATAGCCTCATGTTTTCTGAATCAGAAAAACCCCTCAACTTGTGCACAGACGTCCCACTGTAACCTGCACATTCAAAGCACCCTAGTGTCAGAGAGGCCAAGCACACAGCTCCTCAGGACTCCAGCAATTCAGACGGCTCATCTTCTCCCTAGATAGTCCTCCCTGCCTACAGCACTAGAAACTCAGTTCCTCAATAAAAACAAGCTTGGCGTTTTATGCGCCTTAATTTTCCCTGCTATGAGAGATTCATCAGCTGCATCACCTCTGATGGAAAGAATTCTTCTTAAGATGCACTATAGTGTTTGAAAATACAATTTTATTGTTACATTCTGAGAAAGATCAGAGAAATTAGAATATTTAAAAGGCTAAAGTATTTAGTAATATACATTTCACTTCCTGCAATTCCAATATCAGTGGTTTAGCACCTTTGTTCCCAGTAACTTGCCTAACATTCCCGTGCCAAGACCACGTTAAAACCACTACTCACATATAATCTTTTTTCCCCCCAATCAATAACAGGATCTTCTGACACCATTTATTGGCAGTCACTACGCTAGCCTCTGAGCTCACTAGCAGTAAGAAACTGGTGAAAAATGCATTAAAAAAGTTTAAACATAATAAGGAATTTAAGCAGCGTGCCAACTCATCCACAACCTTATCCCCAACTTACCAATATTTTGGTCAAGATCCTGAAGTAACTTTAAATTCCCCGAACAAAACTCGGGAGTCATATATATGACTCTGTACTGACCCCTGAAATATCAAGAAAACACACCGTTATAGAAGGAAAAACTCCAGAGAACGCAACCAAATGAAATAAAACTAGGATTGTCTAGAAGCTATAAATGAGAACAAGCACCAACTTCTGGATAAGGGAACAAGAGGAAGGAAGTGAAGATGATAGAAAGCATTCCAGAACCGTAGGAAAGCAAGGCAGTAGACAGTGTTACAGGAAATGGAAAAACAGCAAAGAGATTTTCTAGCCTTTAGAACGAGAAGGGATTGTTGTGATGACTTGGTGACAATTATAGGTCTAAGACCTGTGTAAAATCCCATTTAAATCACAACATCAAGCTGAGCCAGTGAGCCCCATCTCCCCAGCCAGAGGGCACAAGAGGGTGGCAATAGCCTCCCACACGCTCAGCCTGGGTAAATGAAAGCACTATCACTGACTGCCAGGTTGCAGGTCTGAGCCCGCATCGAGCATTTCAGCTATGACAGATCAGGCAGACACCCTACCTCTTGTATACACCTACGTCAGAACCCGCAGTCCCAGAAAGCTTATTTAGGACTTACGCTTTAATGCATTCGTTGATGTTTTTCGACTGAGCCGAACCAAGCAAGCAAGCTGGAATCCCTGACATTCTGCAGAAGTGAAAAGCACAGTCAAACAGATTTACTCTCAGTGCTTTCTACCTTAGTTTCCAGCCTATGCCAACACTTCAAAAAGGAAGTTCAAGCTGCGAGGCCAGACTACTTGCTTCCAAGGATGTCTGTGGGGGAAAACCTTTTGAAAAAGGTAGAGCGGTCAGTGGCTATTCCTGCCACCCAAATGCTCTTCCACTTCACCTCCAGCTGTCCCCCTACCACCACACACACTTGACTGGTGCAAGAAGAAATCTGAGAAATACAGAGCATTTTCCTTGCACAAGAACTGGGTTTACTAATAAAACTTCTAAAAGAAAAATATACTTCCTGCATTTTCTTCAGCCATTATCTTATACAGTTCATCACATTTGTATGCAAACAATTTTTTGCCTCACCTTTCTGTCTTTTGTGAGCTACTAGTGCTGCACCTGCTAGTTTTTAAGTAGGTGGCTGCTTTTTAGTGACAGATTCAAGAATTACGCCTACCCACTCAGCCACTTTATACTTGACCTCTTTCAGGGCCCCGCAGTCCCCGTCCTCTTGACTTGGTGATTTACCACATTTTATTACAGCCCTTGGTTTCGATAGCTTCTCCCCCTTCATTCCTCTGTGTTTCAGTCCTTGGAAGAACTTGACCCAGACTGACAAATTACTGAACTGCGTTACGTTGTAGAAGTTCAGTCTCCTCAGCCTTCCAAATGAATGACCCACTGAGAAGGTAGTGAATAAACCCTTTCTACTGAGGAAAACAGTATAAAAGCCAGAGAGGCAGCTGAATACATATAGACGCCCTGCTGACTAATACTCAGTCTAGGAGCTGGGTACAGAGCCAGCTTTGGCTGTCCAGCCATTCATCTGCACAGTCATGATGTGCAGCAGAAAATACCACCCATAATTGATCTTCCTTACTTCAAAAAATCTTCATATCCCCTCTTTCACAAAAGACCTGTTCTTTCCAAGTTGGACAAGGCGGGAATGAACTAGACAACTCGGCACAATTCCCACAGCTTAAATGAAAAAATGTCAGAAGTGAATAGCTGTTAGAAAGCAAGTACATGTAAAGAAAGCATTATCAGGTATTGAAATCAAAGAGATTTACCTTGACAACACGTATAACTGCTCTTGTAAGAGCAATTCAGTGTCACCCACTAGTTCACCCATCAGACCTTGTAACAAGTGAAGAGGCCAGATGTTCAGAAACCTACTACGCTGTCTGTCTTAAAGTCTGTGCTGTGACTTTGAACTGAATGGACTACAGCTTCTAGCTCTATGTTCTTCATATGTTACTTCTCAGACCCACAGGAAGCCCTACCAAATTTTGACATAAAACTCTCACAGGCTGTTTCAGCCTGTGAAGCTGCTCCATCAGCTCGGTCTGTGCAAAACGGGCCTGTGAACCCAGAAATACTTGAGTAGGAATCACCTTCAGGAGCCACCCACCACCACAGATCCCTTGCAGGTTCAGCCTACAGTTCGCATCATTGGCAAATCCAGTGATCTCGGACTATTTACACAATTTTCATGCGTTCCTTGAGAAACGTATGCTTTACAGCTGACAGACAAACAGCTTGCTGTACAAAGCCGCAACCTTAGTTTGCATGCATTCCTTGAGAAACGTATGCTTTACAGCTGACAAACAGCTTGCTGTACAAAGCCGCAACCTTAAACACCAAGAAATGCCACGAGCAGAATCCGAGGGTTTCTACAGTCAATACAGCAGCAGCTTGTTACTACTGCATTACTTACGTCAGCCACAGCACCTGGTCCTCCATCAAGGAAATAAGAGGACAGATGACAATTGCTGTATGTCCGGTGTAAACAGGAGGAAACTGGTAGCACAAGCTTTTTCCATAGCCTTAAAAAAAAGGCATAATCAAAACATCATGCTTCCTATGCAGCTATAACATACAGCTATATAAGACAATATGATAATTCTAACATCTTGTTGAGAGCTAAAAGAGAAGCGGTGGTGTTTGTTCTGCTAGCAGAGGAACCAAGACGCTAAGTAAATCCAGTCAGCATCCATTTGATACCCTCTCCTCACCAAGGTCAGTGACAAAGGCCAGGCCAGAAAAAAACCCAAGTAGCCAGCATAGCTGGCTCAGACTTACACAGTCCCCACTCAGGGCACCCTGCTCATATGAGCCACGTGGACAGTCTTCAAGTTTGAGTCCCACCCTCCCCAAAAAGGAAAAGACTTTTTGCTGCCTCTTAAGATGTAAAGGCAACTTACCAGTTGCCATGACAACAAGATTATCTCTTCTGTCTTCTAAAAGAGAGTTGATGACTTTCCACTGGACCCTTTAAATTAAACGAAGGGGAATATTTTATTTTCGCCACCACACATAACATTTAAGTCTTGTGAAACAGCACATTCAGTTGAATTTCACATTCAAGAAACCCTTCTGGCTGCCTTATAGCGTATTGCCTTTGCACACAGCAACCACTCAAGCACTCCCACTACTGCAGACAGCCCCACCAGCGTTACAGCAGACATCTCCAACAGGACTAAGGCAGGCAGTGTTTGATGGAGTCATTCATAGACTATGACAAAACAAACCACGTCTCCCGTAGGGTAATAACTGATCCACAAATACTGCAAAAACTACAGTTATCGTCAAACACCAAAGATTCTAAGCAGGACCTTGATTTTGCCAAACGATTTTCATCCCTTTTGTGGTGTCACAAGCGCACATAATTGCAGTCAATTAAAAAAAAATCCCCCGCCCCGTTTCCCAAAGTTTACCAAATTATTTGAGCAAAACAGCTTCCCCACCCCCAAGTGTTGGGCTTCGGCTGTGTCTTGCACAGAAAGCATTCCATCACCAGTGGTCCAGGAAGATGTCATCCCACTCCCATTCAGCTTAAGAACTGGAACAGCAATGCTCAAGTACATACCCCAGTGAGATTATGCCACACTGGACAGACAGAAGCCTGTCCCTCCTTCATTAGAGCCACGTAACAAGGGATAACCAGACTAAGTTTACCATACAGAGAATAACATCTGGGCAGTTTGTTGCTCGCTGCTTAAAATACCTGAACTAGACCTCATACAATACGGTATGCCATCGGAAGAGTCAAGAAAGTCACCCTCTACTAAGTACAGTATTGTAGTTAATACTCCATCAGTTTTATTTTGACATCTTGTTATGCCAAAGGCTGCTTTTCTTTTCCTAGGAATTTTGCACAGGTCCTAGTTTGCTAGTGGTTTTTAAACTAAGTAGCAATAAAAAAAAATTCTTGAGTTGAAAGAAGGGAAAGAAAATTAACCCTACAGTGTACAGTTTAACAGAAAACATACTTACGGTTTAAAAGAAGAATGCCCAAAATAAGTCTTCAGACATGTGATGTGGCTTTCGCTAGGTACTGGCAGCAACGGATCTTTAGTGGGAGAGAGGAGAAGAAACTTCATTTGTGGTTACATTTTAAAAAGACAAAGCACTGTCTTGACAAACAACCATCTGCTCACGGTTACTGATGCCCAGGGCCTAGGATTTGGGCAACTCCAGTGAAAAGGATACATCAAACTCCGGAGATATTTACGGGCTAGAATAAAGGATAAAAAAAAAGCAAGCGGGCTCCTCAGAGACCCTGCATGCAAAGAAGAACATATGGATTGATTAACGAGAAAGCCAGAGGTATCTTAATGCATAGCTGCATTATTTGGAACATGTTCAGACAAGGTACTAGGGATGTTTTGCTAGGCACTGCTTGAAGGACCGTGCTGAAGT